GTATTATAAATTTATAAGATATTTATTATATAATTAATTTTTTATTTAATATTATATTATTATTATAAATTTATAATTTTACATTATAACTATTTTGATAAAAGTTTATGACTGAAAAAAACGCACGCGGCAATATAAAGTCAAGTAATCGTACGGTCAAAATGAGTGCCCATGACAGATCGAGGTACCATACGGTTCTACCCAGAGCAAAATAATTTTGCGACAATCGGACTTAATCAGATAAAATGGACGGTCCAGATCATAAAAAGACAATTTAATATGGTCGTTTTGTGATCTGCAACCGGTTGCGACCATTACTTTTTGAGAACTAGCTGGTCAGACGGAGCAGGGTGGGGCCGTGGAACCATACGAAGAAAACAAAGTTGTGGCCTGAAATTGAAACGTCGGCAAAGTCCAAATTACCGGCGAAATAGTCCAAAGCTCGTGCATTTTCTCATGCACGTGGAATTGTGTTTAATGGACATGGAAGGGCCCATGTGAGCACATAAAAGGAGTTGGTACCATAAAGTATGAACACAAGCCACCATTTTTTTACCAACATGTAAATAATACTATTTTTTTTATGAGGGAAATTGGGGATGATTTTTTTTTAGTAACTGTTTTATATATATATATATTTTTTTGTTTTCCGCCCGGTATCCGAAGCTTCGGCCCGACTAATCCGGACTCGACCCGCGTCACGCACCTGGAAATGGTGAGTGAGTCTCCCAACGGGGGCTGCTGCATACACAAGGGCTCGAACTCGAGACCTTGCTTAAGCTGGAACAAGCCGCTTACCACTTGATCCAACCCCTCGTTAGTGTAACTGTTTTATATCTAATAATTACATTTGATTCTAATTAATTTAGAATCTAATTACGTTAAATTTTATTAGGAAAAAACTCTCAATACTTATTTTTTTATTCACAAAACTCAAATTTAAAATTTTATTTAAAAAAAATTGAGTTCCTTTCATTTGAATCAATAACATATTAGTAAATTGAGAGTAATTGGCAAAGGGGAAATGGAGATACAAAAGAATTAAATTTTAGTGGTGTCGGTAAAGTACCACACGGTTAACCCTGGGTTGAGTTTTGTAAATAATATTA